TTCTCATATAAGAGAATGTTTGAGATATTTGAACTTGTGTCTGATTTATTTCACTTACCATTATGGTCTCAAGGTGCATCCACTTAACTACAAATGCCTCAAGTTTATCCTTCCTTATGGCAGAGTAGTAAGTACTTTATTGTGTATAAATACCACATGTTCTTTATCTATTCATCTGTTGCTGGACATTAGGCTATTTCCAATATTTAGCTATTATAAATTGTGCTGCTATAAAATGGGTATGCATGTACCACTGTACTATGATGACTTAAACTCTTGAGAAGATTTGTAGAAGAAGAATAGCTGAGTCAAATGAAATTTCAATTTTTAGCTTTTTGAGCAATCTCACATTGATCTCCATAGTGGTTGTACTAGTTTACATTCCTACCAACAATTTAGAAGGGCTCCTTTCCCCCTGTATCTCACCAGCATTTATTATTACTTGAGTAAAATGGAGGATCGCTAATAGGAAGCAGGCCGATCTTTTTCAAATGGGAAGGAGAACAAGAGTTGGAGGGATTAAGGAGTAGGGATGGGAGGGGAAGGGGACAAAAAAAATTAAAATCTGCTATGTACATGTACAAACTCCCCACAATAAATATAATCATGTTCTGCAAATATGTACTAACAAAAAATTAAATTAAAAGAGACTTTGTGCTCTTTTACATTTATCAGCATCCCCACTTCCAGATCTATGCAGCTACTTATCTACATTCTGTCTCCACAGTTTAGCCTTTTCTGGATATTTTGTACATACTCATTTTTTTCAATTTGTTTTCCTCTTATATTGAATTTATATAATCTATCTGAAATTAAATATTATCTAATTGATTCTATTATCGTTCCTCTTTTCATAAAAAGAAACTGCACCAGGAAAAATGTTAAGTGATATCTTTAGTACTATAAGTAGACAAGAGGTGGAGCTAGAAATTAACACTATAAACATGATTCCATTTCCTACTTTTAGCTATTATTGCATCAGTATTAGACCTCATTTTGGCTTAGCATACACTGAAATTTAGATTTAATCATTGCTCACATAAGTGTAACTCCCTATAAAAGGTCAAAACATTTACCATTCAGATAGTAAAGAACAAATCATTATATAGAAAAAAGATATGGCTGTGTGGGGCTGGGGATTTGGCTCAGTGGTTCTGCCACCTGCCTCATAGGAACAAGGGCTCAAGTTCAATCTCCAGCATCAACAAAAACAAAACAAAAAATAAACCAATAGGTATGAAAATACTACTGTACGGGCACTTCATTTTTTTATGGTCTTATTTTGTTAGGATTCCATAAACACTAATATACAATTACATTGGCTGTTGAAATTAATAATCTATGCCATGGTTAACTCATACAATCATACGAATTTGGATAGGGAGGGGGTCATTAAAAATTTATCTATTGTATTTACCCTGATTTATTCCTCTAGATCAGCCAATCAAATTATGTTAGTGATGTGTAACCTTTGTGAAAAAAAAATATATATTTATTTAAATGAATATTGGAGGCAGTTAAAATCTAGGAACCAAATTTGTGGCCTGTTTCTTCTCCAATGAGTACTAATAGTAATAACAGAAACAATAAGGATGGTGATAGCACTCTTAATTATTTATTGTAGCCAGTCACTGAGCCCAGGGCATGGCTGTGCATTATATACATTATGTCATTTAGACCTCACCACCATTTATGATGAAGAGTCCATTTTCAGTAAAGTATACTTTTTCCTGCAGAGATTAATGAATGTGCCTAATGTCTCAGAGCTACTAAATGAAAGAGCTCAAATGTAAATCCATGCTCTCATCAATGTGCTTTAGTGACATATAATAGTGCCCCATCCAAAGGCATTAGAGAGGTACAACCAACCATGGACTAAAACCCTATGAAACCATGAGCTAAAGTAAAACTTTTCTCCTTCAAGTTGCTTTTCTCAGGCTTTTTTGTCACAGCAATGGAAGCTGACTAACATTTCTCAACACAGTAACACTGAGATATCATGACAGTAGAATTGATGAGATACAGCTATTGAACCGTACAGTTAACTGGAGGGTAGCACATACACACTAAATATACTGGACAAAAGTATGATTTCACTATGCTTCACTCAGAACAGTGTGGGATTTAACTTATACATTTTTTTTTTTAATTTTTAGATTTTCTATTTAATATTTCCAGGCACTGATTGACTGCTGGTTGCAAAATACAAAAGAACAAAACCTTCCATAAGCAGTGAAGGGAGCCCACTGCTATACTTTGTTGCATTAGCCTCATTCCTAACTCATGTTATGTTTTCTTATGTAATTCTCAGCTCACCTGATTTTTAACCTATTGCTTTATATGCCTTGATTCGTAAACTAACTTAAATCTCTAAAATGTTTAAATAAGCAAGCTTACTGACTATTGTATGTTTGCTGTCCTGCATTTTTAAGAGGAAAAAAATAAAGAAAAATGTGTGTGAACACTACAATTTCTCCTGCTACCTCACAGAAGAAATATTGTACCCCCTCATTGTACAATTTGCTTTGCCAAGATCAAGCAAGAAACAATCAATATTGATTGAGCCAATGTGAGGGAAAAGGACTAGGTAGTTTCTGTCCTTCGGAAGCTTACATATCAAACTATTGAGTGAAATACATGTACAAAGCCATAAAAAGAGATTATTAATGGTACTAATAATAGATCTTTTATGTATCTTAAATCAATGTTTAAAGAGAAGGGGAAACATTCTAGAAAATTGGATTTTATTTTTTAAGGATCGAGAACCCAAGAGTAAATCAAGAATATTTAAACATTTGGGTGATTTGAAGAGTTCTGTAACAAAATTTTGTTCTGTTACTTGTTTTTGAGGTAGGGTTTCACTAAGTTGCCAGGCTAGCCTCTAACTCTTGAGATCAAGTCATCCCCTGCCTAACCTTAACAGCTGGGACTGCGAGCACGCACCACTCTGAGGAGCTTATAATAAAAAAAAAATTTGGCCAAGATATTCTTTAAGGTTTTGTCCTATTTAAAAAATTATACAGAAACTACCATTTTCTATAGTGAAATTCCAATTAATAAAGGGTAAGAGGTTTGCCAGAGGGAAGATACAGGAAAATACAGAGTCCTCATTGAGAGTAACTGGAGAAATGTACGGAATGTTAGTTATTTCCCAAGATGGCTAGTGTGTGTTGGGAGTAAGGATGGAAGACGCTGGAGAGGGAAGGGTGCTTGGTAAAGGAGTAGCGAATTGAGATTTTCCAAAACCGAGTGCCTTGTGAAACTTTGTCAAGCCTCTACTAAAACACACGTTATAGTCAGCTATGCTGTTATATTTGAGACCATGAGGCCTATAGAAAAGGGAGTCAATTAGGGTAGCCCAGTTTAATGTTTCTAGCCTAACCAATGGTGTACATTCCGCTGTCTTCACTCCCATCCACACTTTTTCACACCCCCAAATGTTAGACACTATCGATGGTATTTTTTTTGTATAAATTCAAATGTTTCAGTCGTTCCACCCAACGCATTGTAAATATTTTCCACAGCCATACACTATGAACTGAAACGAGGATCGTGTTTTTTTCTACTTTGCATGATTGAGTTCAGCCTTAGAAACCAAGGTCATCTTTCAGTGACAAGTTCTACTTCCTTTAGAAAGTATTGTTTCTACTAAGCAGTGGTCTTGTTCAATGGTCAACTGTTTTAGAAGCTGGAGAAGGTTTGTAATAAAAAAATGGAATAGGAGGCAAGCTACAAAAATTTCCTCGGCCCGCACCCGTGGAGGTAGCGCAGCTGGGAAGTGGACTGGAGGGAAAAGGAGAGGCTGCCTGTGGGTGTCCTGCAGTCCGGGCCCAACCTGGGGCAGAAGG